AAGCAAGAAAGGACACCGTCTTATACGCGCGCGCGTGTTTTCAATAAAATGTAAATGCTCCAATGCCCATTTTTTCCCCAACCACCCCCAGACTGTTTCGCGAGTAGATTTAAACTGCATATTCTTTCCGAAGGGCGCCAGGCTTAATACCGAAGTGTCGGTGTAAACCGCTTTATGCTGCCGCTTTATACCAACCGACCCCTTCGTTCCGCCACGAACGAGACCTCTTACTTATTCATTTATTCTGGCGAGATGAACTTTACGGAGATTTTAATGGCACTCTGACTTTCTTGATATTCGCGCGTAGGTAGACCTTTTAAATTTCGTTGCCGGCGAATGATGTACGCGAGGTGTGAAACAGCCGTTTTGGTCGAAGATTTGACGCCATTTTTGCATACATACCGTTGCTCAACAGATTCGGTGAATATCACGTGATTTACAAAACGAATTACCCTAATGAAAATCAGATCTTGTTTCACGTTTGTCGCGAGAATACAAAGGTAAACGTCTCACTGACTGACATATGCGATTAATTATCGGCTGCTGTAATTACTCCTATAGCAGGGTTCACAGAAGAAACAGATTCGATACGAGAAATCTTAATGTACATAAGATATTTGTTAATTTACTTGTGCCAAATATATATTTAAATCGATGTTAATGCCAAGAAAATTCGATCAAATTTTCATTTACCAGATTAGATTTCACGGATATATTCGATCGAAATATTTCAATATATAAAGATTTAGCAGAATCTCCTTGTTATTATTTGACAAAAAATAGCATACAACATGCTAGCAATTTATAACTATGAATTATCACCCACATCTTCCTGTCATTCCTGGGATATTCGACGATAAATGGTTCTCCGTGTCATTAATCGTGGATCACCTGCTATTCATTTTTCATAATTCATCGAATTGGTTGTTCAGAAATTTGCTAAAACTTCAGAAAGTGTATACACGACAAAAAAGATTTGCCGTTTAATAATATATTGTCGTTACTTTTTTAATTAATTACGATGAAAATTATGTACTACATATAGCGTAAAGCAAATAGAAATATAAATAGAAATAAAAATAGAGAAACTATCGGTTTCTCTAATCTAAAAGATAAAAAAAAATACATTATTACGGTTCTCCTTAGAAGAAATAGGTTTTAAATTTTTTACAGAGATTTCTTTCGAACGCTTTGTATTTTTCTTACTTGCCGCTCGTAAATTGCTCTTTGCAGACGCTCGTCTATTCTGCCAACCTCGCTTACCGATCGAGATTCGATCTTTCTCCTCCGGGACGCAGCACGTGGCCTCGGAACACGAAGATAGACCTGGCCCAGAGGTGGCACACACCTAGTTTTGATTCACCTCATGGTATCCTGCCGGTCACGGGGCTGACGGCGCGTAATTGTTCTCTTGTCTGGTTCTCGCAGGGCATCCAACACCCGCCATCCCCGCGATTGCCTTCGCGCCAAGAATGCATAAACAGCCTCTTTTACCAATCCGCAATGCTGTAAGCCTTCGTCCGCTTACTCTGTCTCTGATACTGCTTCAGATCCGTTGCTTTCGTAAAAACCTAAAAAAACGCATACAAATCAATGAATTACTGCTCTTTTCTTAGAATCGCTATTATTTAAATATGTATATATATGTATATATCATAATAGCGTTATGCTTTATCGCCTTTATTTAGAACCACATTTTCCTCGAATCATGCACATTCAGTTAAATTTAAATTGTTATCGTTCTAAAGCTTTTTGTAATTTTACATTAACAATGAGTTCCACAAGTCTGACAAGTGAGCTAAATCTGTCGTTTCTTTCTTCAATAATTAAAAACTCACAATCTCCGGATTGTTACTTCCGCATTTAACATCGCAATATCGCATCCACTCCCGTCTCTGGAGTTTTATACGCATAAAGTATGGACGTAGCGCGACACGGCTAGGCGGCTCAGGAACCAATCAGCAGCAATCCGGGAAATTGACAAACGATCTCCTTTTTTCTCCCCTATCGCTCGGTCGCATCGTTATCGGGCGTTCCTGCAAATCGAAGCGTCCAATACCGTTAATGGATTATTAATGATCGGCAGAAATGTCGCGCGGCTGCTGGCTGCTGGCGAACCGAGCCTGCCTAGCGCGGCCTCGATTTTGCCGACGCGCACATCGCGCACATGTATCGGGCCAGGATTCGGCATCGTTCGGTCGCATAATTTCCCGCACTGGCAATCATACCGCGCGACGATAATTGGCACACGACCGACAATCGTCGTAATTTCGCGTTCCCGCTGCGCAAATTCTGACGTGTGACACGCGACGGATCGGCGCTCCTGGGAGGCACCTCATTCAATTAGCCACTCAGTTACTCGCATCACATCGCATTTACCCATCAGACTCCCGCCCGGTGAACTCTCTGACGACCCTCGCCGAATCTCTCTCTCTCGTCTCTCCTCCGTCTGCGCGCCCCGCGCCCGTAGAGAGGGGCCGGGCCGCCACGAATTCGGTCTCTCTCTCTCTCTCTCCCCGCGAATTCGTGATTTAAACTTTTCGCGAACGACGACGCGAGGGGGTGACTCTTCCTCGGGCGAGAGACTCTCACGTACCGGCAAGGAGGATCTCACGAAGCTGTCATGCAGCAAAACGGCTTTAGTTCGCGTGTCAGGACGTTGGCGGTTTTGTCTCTCTCCGCCACGCTTCGCCTGCGGAAACTTGATTAGTTTTCCTATCCACGTGTCTCTTTCAGCGACGCTTTATCAAGCGCTTGTTAAATCAGCGGGAGAAATTGCTTTCGCAACGGCAACTCGCGGACCTCTATCTTGCGGGAAGAAACTAAACAACTTGGCATTACATAAGTACATAGCATTAAACATAAGATGTTATTATAGATGATTTTTTTTACAATTTATTGTATAACAGTACTTGCTACCTCTTTGCTGTCTTTTTGCTTTAGATTTAACCAGAAACGTGGATTTATGAGCACTCGAAATAAATACGGATGGATTAAGTCTCACGTATTCCAAGTTACAATCTTCTTAATTATAATACAAGTTTCTACGTCGAGGATAACAGACAACAGCCTTTTTTCTAAGGGCTAAAGTAAATGATCGCCAACCTATCGGCGAAGGTGGCGGAAGTCGCGCCGCCCGCGGAGCCGCAGAAGTTTCTACGAATCCGCGGCTGGTTGCAAACTTGCCGAAGGGTCGAAACCGGCGGCGCCGTGAAATTACTCGACGGGTACCTCCCACGGGGCCGAACTTGTCCGCGACAATTTCAAACTTATTTTAACATTCATATAAGCCCCGTGCTCTCGCCTCGTGTGCGAGGCGCCCCTGAACCGTCGTCGTCTACGCATCCCTTTCGCTGCGTAACCCGAGAAGCGACCCATGTACATACGAACGCTTCTTCCTTCGATGTAAGGACGTGCAAGCATAAGGGCGGCTTGGGATTTACATAAGATTATGCGTAAGCCTTCGTACGCCTCGGCGGTAAAGGGATCGACGAAATGGTGTCGCGGTGAAACAACGCTCCGGGGTGCGCTCATCCCGCATTGATAATTATAATAAAGTGGCGTTGTATGACGTACGAGCGGCGCGATAAGCGTCATTGTCGATTCCACCGTGGTACAGGCAATCAGATGTGATTTTAGATTCTTTTATCGGTCTTGCATTGCGATCCGACTTGGAATCTTCTAGGAAGTTACGCAGCGGTATCATTCAGAGTACCTATGAGAAGAAAAACTTGATTGAGAATAATTGTCTCTATCTCCGCTGCAATCTCATTTTATATATTAAATGTTTTATATATTGTTCAACCATTTTTTTATTTATAATTTTATAGCTAGTTCAAACATATTTTTTTACAATTACATATTTATATGGATTCATGTAGATATATTATAAATAACTAAATGTGTATACATAACTACAAAATAAATATAAATAAATAAACTAATACATATATACATATGTAATAAATAATTAAATATATAAATCCATGTAATATATAACTGAAGTATTTCATCAGTTAAAATAAGTATGTAAAGCAATACAAATACAAACAAATTAAAAATAACATGCAATATTGCATGAATATAAAATTGAATTCAGCATAAATTACAATAATTAATTTGTTTAAATAAAATATATAAATATAATAAATATTTCTTTTTCTACGCGCGATTCGGAGATCACTCTGTACATACATGCCGATAAAAATCGATTTTTGTTAGGTCAGGTTAGCTTAGATTTACAAACTACTTTGTATTTCAATGAGATAACGGGATTTATTATCACGTACATGCCGTTCTTTGCCTCGTGGCGTTGTTAAATCTTACCACCCACCCCGTGATGCGTTTTATATTCATAGTCTGTGCGAAAATTGCTCCTAGAGCACAATAAAGATTATACGAGCCATAAAGTAAATTCAGCCTACCCTGCCGATGTTTATTTAAGCGTGGGAGATATGCTACGGGGGGCTTCCTTTTTTAATTTCGTCTCTACCCTTATCCTTACCCTCTTTCTTATATTATTCTTCTTTCCTGCTATACCTGCGGCTTATGAATCCAAGCAACCAAGTTGAAACAAACCGACGGTGGTTACGGCGAGACCATCGTATCGACCGGGTGAGAGATTTCCTCTGCTCGACATCGAGGGCACTGACGATTCCGAATAAACCTGCACTCTCATGAAAATGGCTTGAACTACACATTCACCATTCGTCACGAAGCGCACGGTTAACAAAGAAGGTTCCTTTCTGTCACTTTCTGTAGAAAGGCTATCGGAAACAAGTCACGCTCGCGATCTCGAATCGCGACAGATGATTCTAATTATTTACCGAAATTGTCATTGTGTGCTAACACTCCGTGGTGTGACGTGAAAAAATATGTTACACGTTAATGTCTAATTAATAAAATCAAAATTTTCAAAATTTTCCCATTCTCCTTGGAAGAAATATGTTACAACCACGAATGGCATCCTTCTTGCGGCGTGATATTCCTTTGATACGTGATTTTATATCTGCGCTTTACAGTAACCTTCACACGTCGCAAATTTCTGCAGGAATAAATAAAATGAAACGAAATAAAAGCTGTGAATCTACACCCGTAGCCGTAGTAAGTATCATAGTATTATACAATAATAATACGTTTTCTTTTTTAAGTACTTATAAACTTTCTTTTAGACTAGAAAAATGAAAATATTTGCATGAAGTTATGAATATAATTTTTGCAAAAATCGCTAAACTATTATTAATTGCGTATTAATTTATGTATAATTTATCTACTTAAATAATATCATACATTTTAGTATGTGCTTTTGAAATATTGGCTTATTCTAAGTATCTTGCAGGATATTCTATTAATCTGAAAGTTTATTTCACATATGTCCGTTTTTTGTGAAAGTCATCTACAAGTACAAAAATTATACTTTCAATATAAACTAATCTCAAACATGCATGACATTATTTCGTTATAAAATTATTTAACATCTGTGAGAGAAAAATATTCAGTATTAGATAATCGTAATTCCTAGTTTAATATCCAGTTTAAGCGAGTTTAAGATATATAATTGCTCGCTTGGGATTCATAACACTATGTCAGTACTATTAAAAACTTTTTCCTCATATGATTCTGCATATAAGTACGAGTTAAAAGTGATGTCGGTATTCTATACTTTCGCAGCATGACGTAACGCAGCGTTTCATCGGTGCTTACTGTGAAAAACTGTAAAATTTTTCTGTGAAAAAGAATTACCGCAAGAAAATGTACCGGTAGTCGTTACTCCCAAGCTATTACATTTTTGTGGTGATAATATATCTTTATAGCGCGAATGCGAGACGTGTGTTTATGATATTATTTTAGTAAACCTCGTCGCCTGCGTGCGTGAAAAGACTTATCACGTGTTTTTATGAATTTATGATTTCCAATTTTTGTACATCTATACTTGATTAGATCGCTATACGTTAGTTTTCAGCATTTTGTATCTGATTAGCTCTTATGTATATATTTCGAGTTTTTTCAGAATAAATCTAAACGAATTTGTTGTTACAATTGATGTCATTTTACAAATCTTTATAATTTGAACATGAAAAACTGATAGTTAATAACATTTTTAATATTTAATAATTTTTGGCAATACATTTTGTTCTCTTTAGATATTATGCGGATGTGGTCGACTTGATGGCACTGAAATTTCGGAAGCAATTTCAACAGCCATACATTTACGGCATAAAAATTTGAAGCCGCTATTTTATGCTCCAGACATCGAGATTTCCGGCGTAGTCAATCATCTTACCAGAAAGATAGATACTACATGTCGTAGAAATGCTCTCGTTGAAGGTGCCAGATTAGCAAGAGCATGCATAAAACCTCTAACTGAATGCGAAGTTTGTACACATGGCGCCCTTATCATACCTGGAGGATTTGGTGCTGCACGCACTTTGTACGTATTGAGATGATAATTGCAGGATAATTGGACAGTGCGTAGAAGTAGACAGTAAAATGAAAAAAGTAGAATAATTTTTCTATCTTATTAAAGTAGTAAATGTAATAGATGTCAACATCATAGATTTTGAAGACATAGATTTCGATATTAAAACACAATAAGAATTTAAACAAATTTCTAATTATTTTCCTTAACTCTTTCTTTTATACAGGAGTAACTTTGCCGAAAAAGGTACTGATTGCACCGTTCTACCCGACTTAGAGAAACTCATCGTAGACTTTTACTGTGAGAAAAAACCGATCGGTACTATGTGCATAGCTAGTGCGCTTGTTGCTAAAGTATTGAAGGGTGTGACAGTTACTCTTGGCAAGGAATGTGAGTCAGATCGTATTACCATTAATATCCTTATTTCGTAATATTTGAAAATTATACCTTATAGCACCTAAAGAAGACTGGCCATACGCTGACGCTATCAAGAAGGTCAAGGCTATGGGTGCTAAGATAGAAATGAAAGATGTTAAAGGAGTAACGTTAGATAAGAATTATGGCGTTCTTAGTACGCCAGCCTGGTTGTACGAACCAGCTACTTATTCAGAAGTTTACGACGGTATTGGTAAACTTGTCGCAATGTTAAAAAAATGCATTAATAAGTTATAATATGTATGCAAATCTCTCTGGAAATCATTGTGTATAATACCACGTTATACTTTAATAATTTACTATAACATTTATATATATACTTTGTATAGCTGAACAAATTTTTGTTACATTAATCCATATTTTTTTTCGACTATTTTTTTTGTGCAAATTATTCTTTAAGATATTAAAATTATTGTTACCTACCTTGCGAATGCGTATTTTTCATAAAATTAACAGGATTATGGGACAGGAACGTTATTTTCGAAAAAATATATTTTATTTAATTTTTTTTATCGCGCCCTTTCGAAATGAAATGAGTTGAATGAGGCGCACATGTTTAGAATATGTTAAGCAGATTAATAAGTCTAATGATACAGTTAAAATAATCAACAACAAGTGAAACAACAATGAATCGAGATCTGTGGCAAAAAATTTTCGTCGATTTAGAATTGTCTCTTTGTTAGACAACGCGACAATTTTCGCCACGAATTTCAACCGTATTGAAAGTCGTTCTAGAATTCTACTGTAATTCTAATACGACTTTTTCACTCTAACACTTTTTATTCCATAATTATTGCAAAAAATGGCAAGAAATGTATTTAGCAATTTTTTTCCTAAAGTTTTTTCAGATTTGAGATTTTTTCTACGATTTTATCATAAATTTTGAACCTAAACAGCACGGAGAGAAGTATATTAACGTATTTTTATAACCAACAGCGAATACAAAATGGGCAGTCTTTATTATTTTACTGAATATATATATATGTGTGTGTGAATCTTCACGTACTTAAAGTATAACCAATTAAGATTAATTTTGCTGATGCACGCAAAGTTACATGTGTCTAATTAATATTTCACGGAAAAACGCGATGGCAATCTGTTTCCGCTGAAACATTGAAATATAAAAGAGTGAAATAAAAATAATTTATTTATAATAATACCGAAGTTTTTCGCAAGTCAATTCGGCGCGGTCAATAATTTCGTTACATGTATTTTCGTAGATCTGCATCCTCTTGTTTTTCATTTTTACACTTTTAACACCTGGAATAAAATTACGGCACGTTTCAAAGAAAGAAGACCAACAAATGCAAATTAAAAACTGTTACTAACAATAAGAAGAAACAGATCTCATGCATATTCTGAAGTATATCCTGTGTGTTTACGCGTTTCGCATAATTATAGGATAACGAGACCGCGCGCACGAGCGCCTCGTGGTTTTAGCCCGAACACAAGTGTCGTTGGTAAGAGTTATACCGATTCCGGAATCGTGGCTTACTCGAGCGTAACGTTCACGTACGAGCAAGTGAATTCAATCAACGTAAAAGGTCTCCGTGAATAATCGTTGCTACTAGTTAGCTTTGCAAGCGCCTTGCCGAAATGGGAACGTATCTCCAGAAGGTGTTTGTACGACCGCGGCGGAACATATATAGCACCACATGGAATTTCTTAATCGACGCACTGTAGACTCGAAAAATCTTACATTTAGGATCTTTCAAACACGTGCGGCTACCACCTAACTTAGAGAATAATTTAAACGTTAAGGCCACATGCGTTTTAAATCTAACGACGATTGGCTGATAAAACAGGAACGGCAGTGCCTTGTACCCTTAATGCTATTACCTTAAAATCTATTAATTAATCCAATTGTTCGCATCGCTCAGGAAATGATATTGAAGTTTTCGGTGCTGAAAAACCTATGAACTGAATGTTTTCGCTTATCTCCGTATCGATACAGAGCGTCGTCGGAATTCCAATGGTAGGAATTGTATACCGTCTAACCGGCGACGCGCGACGTCGCGCGTCAATTTCGAAATATCGATTCTCCAGTTGCCATAGCTTTTCGGTTTAATCGAAAAGTTCATATGCGCGCACAGTATCGTTCGCACATGAACGAAGATGCGAACCTTTTCTGTTCCTGTCGCACGTTTTCAGTACATTCTCCTCCAATAATAGAAAAACGACGCTTTTCAGACTTTGGTTCTGATCTCGAGGCCAAATTTCGCGTTTGGGAGAAATCCCGAGGTTTGCGTCCACGTTAACGTACACTTTAGCGACATTCTTCTACGCTCAGCTGAGAGCGAGCAGCGGCTCGACGGACATACGAGATCTTCTGGCCTTGTCCTCTTCGTACTGTTTCATCTTCATCAGCTTCCACTTGCCCTTACTCTGCTTTTTCCTCGGTACTTCCGTAGTGGACACCTCCTCTGCGTTAGACTGTTCCTCTTCTTCCAACATCCTCAGAGTCTCGATGATATTCCTGGGTTCCGTGACACGCCCAGTGGAACTGCCGTTCTTGTTGGCATATACCACGGAAAGATGTGAGAAACTGGACTTTGGCGGCGCCGTAATGTCGGCGAAATCGCGGAAATTCGCAAAGAAGTCACCGCCACGAATCGGTTGTGGTTTTGGGTTTCTGTAATATTGTGCACGGCCACGACCGTGATAGTACGGATTGTAGAGACTCTCGTCTATCGCGTACTCGTCGTTTTCTTTGTCCTCCGGATAATAAGTACCGCCACGGATCACGCCGAAGTTACCCGATCCCAGTATAGAATGTTGATCCTTGGTCGCGGCGGTCTGATAATTGCGATCGCGTTGGAAATAGCCGAGGAATCTGTTAGGACGATATCGCTGCTGCTGTTCCGCGAACGAAAGTCTATGGTTGAAGAGTTCCGCGAAAGACGGGAAGAAATTCTGACTTTCGGTTGCCAAACTTCTGCCTCCTGCATCGGTAAACTGCGCGACGGCGGTATGATCCGTGTTCTTCGCCTGCTGATCTTTAGAAGCTTCAGGTTTCTCTTTCGCAGCTTCAGCTTCAGTTGATTTCTCATTACTCTTGTCGGTAGTATCGGTTGACGTCTCGCGTTGATTAGTCTTTTGCGTGCTTTCCTCTGCGCGATCCGGTTGCGAGGTCGTCTCGGATTCATCCGGCTCCATATACATGTCGGAGTCGTCGTACTCTTCGCCTACCTCCGACGCCGACGCCACGGAGTCCTGAAAGAGAGAGAAAAAAGTTTCCCCACAATTATACTGGAAATTAACGTCGCTTTTCGAACAATAAACATCGATGCGAGCGGTAGAAAATTGACGATGCAATCGATAAACTAACAGAAAAATGTTTTATGACTCGCTAAAACGTACTCTCCTAAATTCAACAACTTGTAATTCATAAACTTTCTTCGCTTTCAAACGCCCGGTTACGCACATCGAAGATCTGAGTAATGAGCGGAACAGTTGGTCAGCTTTAATAATCGGGAAATTGATTTCAAACCGTCAGGAATTATTACCAGTGATCGTTCATGATGCGAGCGTGATAGAAGAATATTAAATCTGTTATGTAATTTTCAGTGGTCTAATATTTATTTTAAAACGGTGTTTCTTTCAACCGACAGAAACGGCGACAACGGCTGCGACGACGACGACGACGACGGTGACGGCGACAACGACGGCGACCGTGACCGCGACCGCGACGGCAACGGCAACGGCAACGGCAACGGTGGCGAAGAAGCAAGAAGGAGATGAAGCCATTATATCAATGTCGGTGGCCGGTGAGGTGACTGACGCTTCGATCATGGAAGTAGGCCGTTCTAGGCCACAGTTTCAATATTCTCGGGAGGAACTTATGCTGATAAAAAATTTCGGATTGATTTCAACACTAATTCAATGTTACGTGATAATCGTGGATTACGCATTGATAGAGAACTTAAACAAGAATTCTAGAAAATTAGTTTAATTTTTCTTATATTTTTCATACAATTTTCCTATCGTATTTTTGAATAAATTTCCTGATTCGAGAAAATGTAGAAAAAATAATAAATAGCCACTACTGGAAAAGCATCACTTTCTCTATACCATTTATCTCAGAATTATTTCATAGTGTCTACAATGCAGTGGCGGCTGCAGTGATTAGAGCTTATTCAAGCCTGACAGGAAAGGTTTCAATGAATGTGAGGTGCAACAGTTCCTTTCGCGAAGTGCATCAGCCGAGCGTGCAGGACGAAGAGAGACGGTTTGCGTGTTCGAGCAGTCCCATCGTGTCCTCGCCTTGACATTTAAGGCATCTTCGTGCCAGCGACCGCCTGTGCAAGACCAGTTACCATAAGTACGTCATGATCCGTGCGTTGGTATATTGTCTGTACATACCGTTCCACAATAGCGCGTTTCGATTGTGCGCGGTGCACGCGTATGCTCACGCGTCGCGACGATAATGCGAACGAAACGCATAGACGGTCGTTGAAATCGGTTGCGACACGTCGGCGACACGCCTAGCATTGTTACGAATATGTCAGGTCAGCACTCCGACATAACTGTGTCTACCTTCGCGATGTTAGCATAATACCTCGCTGCTGTATTGAAATTACTTCTACACACGCGATATTGCAAATGTAGTTGTATCGCGAACTAAGATTTGCTTCTGATGCACGTTAACTCAAAATTCGTTAAAATGCTAGTAAAATTTTTAATCTAATGACGAAAAGCAATCGTTTTCAAGTAATGAATGATGATAGATGTGTATTTTTTGTACTACGCATAAATGTTCCATAATGCTACTCACATTAGTTGAACAAACACGTAAAGTTTTGCAATAAAGTGGTCATAAATCAATGGTTCGTGAAAAATGTTCCGGTAAAAAAGAATAGCGTAGTAACCTATGGCCATTCGGAATGTTACATGAACTTGTAGACAATAAATTCAACATGCACTGGTAGATGTGAGTATGATGGATGCCTCATCTCGGTTTATAATGAGAAATGAGCGATAGACTTGGCGAGCGAGATACTGTGCATGAAGTTTTGATCATATCAGGAACAAAGTGTAACGTGTCGCAGTTAATCATTTCGGTATAATTATTCGCCTTCTTCGACTAGTGTAATTAGGTAGCACTATCATCTTTATAGCAGGACAAATTGAAAGACTACCTTTACAGCATCATATATTATGTGAAATGATGTGAATATTTCAATTGATGTAATTCAATATAAAATAAAATTTTTTAATCCTAATGTTCATTAATCTCTGTCGGTACGTAATGCAATAATAATTTATTTTTAATAAAAATTTTTTAAAATTATATCACATGATATAATGCATGTGGGTAATCTGTGAAATAATATAGATATCAATGATAATATTTGCCATCGAAAGCAAAGAGAAGAGGAAACATAAAAGTTAAACTGTGCATATCATTATACAATAAAAAAAAATCGAGTACGAGGAGACAAATCTTTTTTTTTTTATAGATATAAATCTGAATGTTTCACCATATGCATATTCATTAAAATCCTCTGAAATATATTATTATTTCCGAAGAAATATTACACGAACATAAGCTTTATTATATTTTAATAAAATAAATAGAAAGAGTGTGTTATATATGGCGATATATGTAAGAATATGTATTTATTAGATAATACTGTTTAAATGAAAAGATTTATACCCTCCGAGAATTTCGAGACACACATACTCGATTAGTAATAATATGAAAGTTATAGAACAGAAAGACGTATTACAATTGTTATACATGATTACAGAGAGTAATTATTCCGCGATTTGCACCTGATAGATATGCTGGGCGAAATGACTATAAACTAAGGAATTAAAGTGTTACGGTAAGATAGCACGCGCGTTTGATTAGAAAATTCTTACAGCTGTTTGCGTGATCACAATGAACGTATTATCTCTTTCGCCATTTTATTTCAACATTTTGATGTGTAATATTCAAACAGGATTTTAAGCATGAGAGGTTCAATATTTTCTGTAACGATCGAAATTGATTGAGAAGGAAAAGGGAGAGAGGAAAGGAAGAATATGTTATTATTGCCCGATTACAGGACGCAAATTAGTATCGCAACGTTCTCGTATTATGTGAGCAAAATGCACGCGATATACACCTGCAAATTATTATATTATCTCGACGATGTGCATGTGCTATCTAATTAGCAAGATCGTCTCTTCTTTACTTCTCTTTGGTATGAATTATATGTGAATTAGGGACAATCTCAGCACAAGCAGCCGCGGGCTGATCACGAGAGACGATCCGTAATTCTTAGCGCAACGCCGAATCATTGTACTATGAAGAAACTTAAACTCCATTATCGAAGCATATGTTGTGATACGCGAAAGTGCGGCACTACAGAAATCCTGATGCGAAATCGACGACGTTGATCGGCTGATCGTAAAATACAAGCTAATAATTTTATAATGCCCTTTTTTATTCTCTTAAAGTTCATAACTTTTCCTTCTTGTTTAAAGAGATTAACCCGGGAGTCACCTGGGAGATTATTTTTACGCTGCAGCGAGAAAATAAGACTTATAAGACACAATACTTTTCTTTACTGATCGAGAAGCTATATCTATATTTTTCAAATTTTTCTTATTTTTTTTAGAAACTATTGAGTAAATTTATATACATAATGATCTCAAATATTAACAAATTGTAGAACTTAATAATATGTAGTTAATAATTAGTTAAGAAATAAGTTATTTTTATTATAATTGGGATATAAAAAAATACTTTAGGTGATTTGTTTACTGGTAACAAAAATAACTAGGTGACTATTTCTGGGTTAAAAAAGCTTAGACAATCTTAAGTAAGATTACTGAAAAATTAATATACTAGAGGATCATACTAATTGTTATTAAAATACTAAAAATCATTATTATTAACTATTTTTTATTTTTTTTATTTTTTGTGCCTAAGTCCATTAATTAAAAATAATTACGAGGAACAATACATGAATAACAAGAAGGAAAAATTAAGTTATCTGACGATCGTACCGTCACTCAAGTATAAATCGAGTAGTGGTTGGCGTTAATAATTGTACAGATAGCTATCTTAATTTATATAAACTAATGTGAAAGGAGAACACGAAGATTTTTCTTAAATGAGATGATATCTGTTTGAATCTATCGATAATCCGTGTAAAATATTCATATATGACTGTGCAATTGTTCGATTTAACACATAGGATATGCCACAAATACCGTACAATATTTTAATTTAATACTTTATAGAATTATAGATTAATTAAAATAAAAAATTATATAAAAATATCGGGGTCACAGTTTTCGAGTCATAAGCAATCAGAGCTGGCAAAGAAAAAATTGTAATTGTGCTTACACGCAATTACAATTGTACATGTATTAAAATCTGTCATCTGTTATTAATTTTAAAATCTCAGATAGTATTACTTTTAACTATCTTTTAAGGTCTTTATTTTAGATCTTTATTTCATCTTTATTATCATATAATTTTGATAAAAGAATTATTATATGCCTGTGAATATAATATTTTTTACAAAGCAATAATTTTTAATTGTTATTTTGTATCGCTTCAATAATAATTATCTCAAACAAAATAAGTTACTCATACGAATATCTGCTTCGATGAATACTCTCGGTATATTTACGAATCGTTAAGTGAGAGTTAATTAATCGTCTCTGGTCGATGATCGAGTTAATTAATTGCAGATCGGTCGTAGAGATTGCACCTTCCTTGATACTCGTCGCGATCATGTTTTAAAGAATAACGTTACACACATGGAGAGAATCGCGCCACTATCTGTCGCCTCGAGTCTCATTGTATGAATGATAAGCGTGCATACAGGTAGGCCGTATTTACGCCAAAGCCATCAAGGTAAACGCCGCGTAAATAATGAATGAACGCCACACACCGTGTATTCTGGCAAAATATCTAACACGTTATAAAAGAAAAAGATATGCATACGAATATTTTATTCCTTATGCTTTTCAAATTCGATAAATAGGCTTTTGTCACAATATTAAGTTGAAGATCAAATATATAAGTAAACGCGAACAAATACGATATAACTCGTTTCGATAAAAGTTGCGAATGATTAGTACGGCGACATAGCAATCAGTTGATAAGATAAGTACGTTAATAAAGCCTATCTTAAACAATTATAATTTGCGTCAGATTTTAAAATAGAAAAATCGCATATTTTTATTTATAATTTATGCCGTATATATTTTGATGTATGCATGCAGTTTAATATATATTTTGATTATTCTCAAAATTGCTTTTCTCAATCGTATATTATACGTGGCACGCAGAATTTTATCTTATATTATAATGCGAATTATAAGTCTTCTAAAGTGGATTTAGAAAGAAATGTTTAAAGGTTGAGTGTCAATACCGCGATTTTTGACGCTCAAGCCGCGCGATTGCAGCCGCGCGGCACTAATCGCGCGACAGCAGTCGCGCATACTGTTGTCAAAAGCGCGATGAGAGTCGCGCGATTTCACAGAGAAAAATAATTATTCTACAGCTAAGGAAAAGAATATTTTATTTTTTTTAAGTAAGTTTTCTTATAACGAAGAATATTTTCTTATTAATAGTTTTCAAATATCTTGACACAAGTCTTTGAAAAGCCAGAATCTTGTTTTGAGTGAATGTAATACTTACAACGACTTTTTATGGTAGATTTCCGGATAGATATAACCTTATCAATACTTAATCTGCAAATCTACAATAAAGTCATTATAGAATGATTATTTTTCTGTGTGCAGTCTTTTATGAAACATGGAGGAAAAAACTTTAATAATTCTTCATACCATTAAAGAAGAAGAAGAGGAAGAAATTACATTATTATTATTTTGTGAAAGCTATAGGAGTGCTCTAAATGATTTGCTTATTGCGAGAGAGACAGAAGAATTTCAAAAATTTTTATAATTTTTATCTTGTGGGTCATATAACCATTTATAGTTGTTCACCAATTCACACAGCATAAAATCATTCATGTTGTGGAACGTTAATTTAATTAAAAAGTAGAACTTGCCAAAATATTAGTGACTAAACTGCTCCAAATACAATTGAGTGAACTGAGCCGCGCGGCTAGACTGCTCCAGGAGCAGTTGAGTCGCGCGATTCTGAATCGCGTCGCCACAATCGCTAGAGTCGTACGACTAAAAACGCGGGATTGGCAATAGTTCCATTGTATTACATGCAAAGCAGACATTAATCAAAGACGCGCGGCTGCAATCGCGCGGCTTGAGCGTCAAAAATCGCGGTATTGACACTCGACCTTTAAGGAATGAAATCGAGAATGAAATATATATAAAATATACATTAAACTGCAGATACATATATACAGCATATAAAATTAAAAATCTCATCCTGTTAATTTAAAAATTCTATTCTAAATTATATAATATAATAGATCGCGCCTACAAATGAGTTTAACAATTTTCATTCTTTCATTTCTCACACATTAATACCACGCACACACCATAGCAATTAATTCATACTAACAAGTTAATTATTATCCAACTTGAAAACTATCACGTGCGAATTATTTAATCAGTTTTTAAATAAGAACGGTAATTAAAAATCACATTTGAAAAGCGAAACGCCGAACGCGTAATATGGGAGAGACCGTTTATTTAATTAATATCGCAAGCAACAAGTAAGGAGCACTTCGTATATTCGTAGGTTTTACAACGCGTTGAATTTAGCGTGTAGCAATACCGAAATGCGGCCGCGAGTTCTCGGCAACGTGATATGCGGGGATAGAAGGAGGAATAATGACGAGGCACGGCGCGCGTTCATTGTGCGTAGTCAGCAGAGTCAGCTTACCCCCCTCCAGCCCCCACTCGTGTTGACGAGAAGCCGCGGCTCGCCTCGCCGGCTCGGTTTACTTCGTCGTTCGTCGTTGGCCTTGGCCTTGGAGAGTCGTACGAGACACGACCTACCGTAAACACGCACCCATCGATCGCACGAGAGAGAGACTCGAGCCGGAAAATAGTGGCGTGACGCGTTCCGCGAATTGTAGCGTTATTTTCCTTCGAGAATCGAGATGCAATCACGATGAATTGCTACTGCGACGAGGGAGTACGGAATTATATCAAACGAATGGTTAACAAGCCGGATTAATTAGTGGCTTCTGTTCATGAATACGTTATACGCGATAGAAGAAAAGACGGCGATGCGGTCAATCAATTGCTCGCTTTTTCGAGCTTCTAAAAGCGATGAGTTGATTGGCCGCCGTGTCGCTTCTTGCCGCGCGTAATGCATTGCTATGTTCAGGAAACCGGAGCCATAACGCCCATAACTCATTGTCGACGTCGACGATTCGCAAGCCGTATCGAGGTACCGAGGTTTTTTGTCGAGACAGGTATTCCGCGCAATATCACCCGCTCGAGATGAATGCGGTATGGATACAGAGCAATTTCAGCAATTCTTGTATCGCGTTTGAAACCTTCGTATCGATTTAAGTGAACTTTGCTCGATCTAAATACGATTATTACCGGAGTTGAATGACACGCGAACCGGCGCGGGCGCGGGCGCACGGAGCGAGCCAAATAATGAAAGAAGTAAAATATCTGTCGTTGGCTAATAACGCGTGTAGTTAATTGCGACTCGTTTGGGAGTCGCGCGTTCTAAATGCGTACGTGCGACGCCAAATCGCAACCGTATATTTTCGAACGGTCCATCGCACCTTGGCGTCTTGACCAGTCGTTAACCTGATTGGCGACATTGGCGCTGTGTCGCGCGTTATGAGTGAAGTTGCCGCTGCATTCGCACAGAGTTCCTTTTCGTGTTCGTCCGCCATTACCGTTACGGAGTACGTTACGTGATGGTGCGAGACGAGTCCGAATCAAGTGGCATCGCGACGCCGTCGACGTGTGATCGATAATTACGGCCGTGATTGACTTCGCATTTCAATTTTGTCGATCGCGCGACACAAGTTTCGTGCATCGGCGATTCGTTAAGGTCTATATCACCGTCTCGAGTCTCGCTCGCGATCTCGTCAGTTTTCGGAGCGTCGCGTCGGTGTGCCGTACGATGAACACGGGTGTCGAGCGAATCGCGGCGAATCGTTCTATCGTTTTTTTGCTTTCTTCGCGTACTTATTTCCGTCGCGATGTGATAAGCGAGTAAGTCGCGTGTTATTAATATCGGGAGTGCCGTGCTAAGTGACGCGCGATTATTTCGGTCGTTTTACTCCGATAATTCGCGCGAGTGTTAATTAATCCGGTTTCCGCGAGTGTTAATTGGTCCGGTTTCCGCGAGTGTGTGGCGACTTCGAGGGAACCCGAGAGGAGGAGGAGGCCTGGGGGGGCATCGGGCGACGGCGGAGCAACCGTGAGGTGAGTATCACACTTCTACGTTATTTGTTACTTGCAGAGAAAGAATCCTTAATTCCTATTTATTCCGATCGTTCATTGGGATGATTTATTACAATAAAAGACTTTTGCTTTTAAATTTGTTAAATTTATATTTGAGAAACTGAAATTACTTTTTTTTTTTCGAGAATTATGTAATTATTTTATGAAATATTTACTTGAAAGGCAAATAAAAGATTCAATTCTCGCAAACAATTATTTTTAAGATATTGCAGTTATTTTGAATGTAAATTTAATTTTTGGATTTTGTATTCGTATGTTACAGATGAACGCAGTCACAACTCCGCTGTTGCGCATCGTATCGGTGAGTCACAAGTAATCTTATGTATATCGCGAGTAAAATAATTTCGCGAAAAAAGGAAACTTCTTCTTGTTCTTCAAACATTTTTCTTACCTCGTGTACGACTGTGTCCTCGGGAACCGGTGCTCCATCTGAAACAAAGAACAGGTCTTTGTGAGAAAGGTTGCATCGTACAGGTGAGCTTACATGCGACATATACGCAACATGGTTAAATTGTGAGTACCGATATTTACGACACAGTTATGCACCGTGGGCAAAGAGCGAGATATTTCTCGAGAGAAAAAACATACAGCCAAGAAAGAACATGTATAGAACCGACTTCAATATTCGATATCGGGGAACTCGATAAAATATGCGATTTATTAATTGCAATTCACTAATGATCACCCTCGATAATAGCGCGCGTAGATTATCGAATCGGCCGCACGCAGCTGTGGCTGCATATTAAATCGCGATTTCCAAGGAGCTTCGTGGAACACCTTGAAACCGCCACATAGATTTATTATATTGGCAGTTACAGAAACATACCGTGCAGATTATACCGTACGAATCGATTCATTCGCGCTTTCATTTCTTGTGGAATTAAGAAGCATCTGAATTCCATGCAATCGATGTTTATTTTTTTACACAAGCCGCTCTATATAACGATGTCTGAATTATAGTACAATGCTTTATTTAAATTATTCCTGTAAACCCAATTACCCATAGTCTCCGATAAACGATAAACTGATACATTTTAGCATCGCGCGGAAGGGATACGGAATGTAAATTGGAATTAACGACTATTTTGTCCGCGAAACCAGCTATTCTTTGTCCTTGAAACAAATTCGATCGTATTCGCCGATTTTAATAATCGTAAACGTTTAAATGTTAAATTATGTCCACGTGTTTTTCGTAAATTATCTGTCGCGTATAGTGAGAGTCATTTCAAGACGTGTGTTATTATGTAAAAAGATAAGAAGAAGGATGATCGCGCGCGTTGTTCCGGGACATCCGGTCAGGCCGTTATTAATTAGCCTGCGGACATCGGACTTCCTTAATTAGTTCGTACTTTATCAACCGGCGATCTTGCCAGGTTTCTTTCATCCTCGACACAAGAGAAAGTCAATTACGTCGATGACAAGTCGACGCTTACCGAGGGTTTAGTGCGTCTCCAGAGATCCTTGCGCGGAGCGTGTATAAAGTTAAGCTCGTTCCCTCGGCTCCGCTTGTCAACCGGTGTCTGAGGACTGAGACACATAGCACCGGGTCGACAACGCTTCCGACATTCCCGTCTTTTTTTATTATCGTCCGCCACAAATCTCGGGAGCGCGCTGACCACAGACGGTTAACGTTATAAGCGAATTATACCAGAAGTAATCGTTTTTAATGAGATATGCGATATTTACGTAATACGACTAAGCAACGACTGCTGCAAGAAAATCGCCTGCAACGCATTTCTGATTAGTTCTGCGAATAGTGCGAATACGCGTATTCATTCTCGCGGTGACTGCCCGAGCTTTTCATATTTTGTTTTTTTTCTTTTAATGCCCTATCTCGATTTATCGAATCGCTCGCTCGTTTGCTGCACGATCCGATTTTTGGATCGCATCGAATTGGAATTAGCTCAATGGACTTGTTAAATCGCGGTCTGTCGACGGTATTTCACCACGCCAATTACGGCTCGCCGCAATGTAATGAGGCACCAACCGGCAATTTGTTGGTGTGATTCCGCGGGATTCTCGTAATTTATCGTGCCGCGTATCGCGATTAGGAATCACGGGCCTTGACCACCTTCCGCTTAGATTGTAAAAGAAAGATATGGCACCTTTGATATATACATACATATTGTATATAAAAAGAGAAATTTTTAATAGAATATTATTAAAAAGTATTTTATACAGCATTAATATGTGGTTGTGTTTTAAAACAAACTGAACTTGAGTTGTCAATAAAACTATAGTACTATACGGTATTTATACTGAATAATGTAAAAATAATAAAAAATATCGTATTTTATTTATATTTAAATAAATATTAATAGGCTTTTATTTATATCATTATTTATTGAACATAAAGTAAATCATTTTGCGCGCGATTTTAAAATTTGTGGAAATTGGCGAGAACATTAAAAATAATTGACATAATATTCATAAGATGAAAGTAAAAAGTAATATGTTCTAAGCAGCAATAAAATATAAGACTTACTTTGATACGCGTCGGTTCTTTCAAGTTGTACCGAGCATGAAAATGTCAAGTAATTAATCGCTAATATAGTCTATACATTCACACTCGGTTTCGTTTGCTCCATTTATTTTCGTAGAAGAGATCTGTATTGAGTTCAGCGAGGAAGCGTTGCACGATGACACGGCAATCGGTCTTCCTTAAACACGCATGACGTACTTTACTTTCTAGCGACGAACCGCGAGCGCTTTCTGCATAATAGAACAATCAAGTCCGAATGACGAAAGGTACGCAGGCTCCTCGTACTTCGTACGTAATATAATTCTTGAGTAATAGTTCAGCCGGCTGTTACTTTCGACAATGCCGCGAGTTGCCGGATCCGAGAACTATATCACCGTGCATTTCAAATAAAGTATTTCGTGCATTTTATTCGAAAATTTGATTTTGTACGAAAACGCAGAACTGACAATGCTATTCGTCATCTGTAATCGTGTATTAATAGATTCATTGTCTATAGTCTATAGTGACAGAAATTCAGCCGGTTAATTATTTTTTCACTTACTAACTATAAATATGTATTCTAAGAACATTAACGCGTACATAATTTTATCAAAAATATGTCACGCTAGGAAAAAAAACCCGTTCTAAACGAAATAAGTACTTCTTTTGTATATACGAATAATCATACGTCTCGATATTTCCGCCTTCCATTAGAGAAGCTCACGTGTCACTTATTATTAAACATTAATTTGCCGGCTGCATAGCTCCATTTCTCAATGACATTCCATCTAGTAACAATAGGGATGACACCAATGCGGGAACTCCATTTTCTCGCGTGCGGCATCGTCACACTCTCAACATTGTCCCGGCGACACTATTTACGACACAGCCGGAGATGACGCTTTACTATTGCGCTCGCCTCGCGTGAAAAAAATATTGCGCGATCATAACTTGATGAGAGTCGATAAACTTCGCAACACCTACATGTCGCTTCACGGTTTATGGCGATTATTTCATCCATCGAAACTCCTAATTAACCGGAATTTACGTTATGTATTTAAAAGAATGTTCTCCAGCGAAGAATAAAACGGTTGTCACAGCATCGTTTGCAATACAGTGTAATTTAAAGCCTGACATCCGCATCTTCAATAAAAATAACGACGTGATTAAGCGAATATGATTATAGAGATTACAGAGATTACGCATCGCGAAGGCATTAAAAAGTAGATTTTACGATAATAAAAATTGATTTAATAAAAAAAAGCGATTTTATTGCTACTATCCAGATTGACAAGCTTTTATTTTATTAGAGTACTTCTCTCTCTAGGTGTTTATTATCTGTTCTGAGCTATATACCACTTGTTATTCTGTAGATTTCTTTCAGCTAATTTCTAACTAATTGGTAATAATACGTTTCAGTGTAATGGTTTCAGCATATTTATAATTTGTAATGATTATGTAGGAAATAACATTATATAATATAAGTTTAGCACGGATGTTAGAAACAGCCGGCAAACTATACATGGCAATTTAATTTCTCATATTATTTTAAATATTCCCATATCATTTTTAAAAAATATAACATTTCATAAATTTTATATTAAATTAGAAAGATGTGCAGTTATCTTGATCTATATAAACGCTTATTATGAACAAGTGTTCGTTCTAATATGCGATAAGTTATTCAGTATATTATAATTTGAAATTTACGATAAAATTTCTGCTATGTCGTAAAGCGAATGAAGGAATTTGTAAAATTTCTTTCGTACAACATTTGTGGGATTACATATCGGACGACATACTGATACTGATGAAAAAACGAGACGTGGTACAGCCTGCCGTTTTCCACTTGGGTGTAGTCGCGCACTACTTAGAAATTGTAATGGGTACGCGAACGACATAATCAAATCGCAAATCAGGGGTTTCAAGATTCTTACGGGTGCACTGACAAGGAAGTGATTACCATCGACTGAAGTACGTTATTCCTCTTGTTCCTTTTTTCGCCTTCGGACGCGACAGGGAAAGACGCGAATTGTTACGTGAGACGAGAGGAAAATTTCGTGCTGCGTGGATGGAAATTAGGGAACAGGTGCTTCCTGCTTTCAAATTTTTCGAAAAATTAATGACGGTGGACGGTGCCGCTGGCTATTAATGTATAACCAAATACCCCATAAGATATGAGAAAGACGCGTTTTCGTAATTTATCAACTTTTCGGATCTGAATGAGTAATGAAAAAACAAGTAAAATATTTAATTATTTAGTGTCGAGTGGAATAGATTTCAAACTAATGTTTCTTTAGTCATTAGTGTAATAAGCATGTTATCAAATAATCGAAGTAACTACAATATGATATAATAACGATTTGCAAATGTAATTGATTTGATCATATGTATGAGAGTTAAATGCTGATAAATATTCCATAAAAGCATCTAAAAATGACCGACACACTTCTGTTCGTTGTAAGAAACGGTCTTCGCATCAATAATCATTAATGAGACAGGCGCTCGGTTTTATATTCTCATAAATTTCTTGGTGATTTCGACATAAGATTTACTCTAAATGAGTCTCCTTTCTCATGACGAATCTGGCGTATCCTAAGGAACAACGTTACCACGCGCGAGCTATCTCATTAATCGATCCCGTAATCACGAGTCTTGTGTACCGACATCTGCATCTTGAATCAACGTTACGATGTCGATAATTGAAAGAATAAGTTACAGAGCTATAGCATTTCTGCAGAGATTGTTGCATCAAGTATCAATATAATCTTATGTAGTTTTTCGCATTCAAAATGCTCCATGGTCTCCAGAAATATAGAAAAATAGAAGGTTAATTGTTTATTTAATATATTGTATTGCAAAATTCTTTTTGGCCTTTACTTTTGAATTTATTGGAAACATTCAGATACATGTGCATAAATATAAGTGCTTAATTATTAGCCGTATTTATAGTCCTTTCTTAAGGATA